ACTTACTGGCTAACCAATGGACGTGATGCCTTGAATTGTTCAGCCGTTTGTAGTTATGTGGTTGATAGATTTCACACAAAATGTCAGGGTGTTCAACATTGGCTTGGAAGTGAGAAAAACGGGCGTCGGAGGGCGCCGGAGGATATATAACTGGTTGCTGAAACAATTGCTGGCCTCCCACCCTTCTACGGCCTTCCTGGTGATGAAACAGAGGTACCTGCCAAAAATGAACAAAAACCGATGCAAAACGAATGTTCGGGGGCCAAAACACGCAGTTCGGGGCCCCGAAAACTGCCTGTTGAGTACCGAAAGTGGCACTCGACCACGAAGTGGGTCTCTCAGACCTCAGTGTCCCTCAAAAGGGAGTAAATAGGAAGTACGCCAAAAACCGGAGTAATAGGAGATGGTTAAGCGGTCCCGAACCGAGGCACACGGCCTGACGGCTCTGAAAACCGAGAACCGGGCTCCGAAATGGGAGAAATGGCCTACAGCCACAAAATGTAGCCCACGGCCACTGAGAGATGGCCTACGAGACCTCTTCCCCCCCCCCTCAGGAAAAGAAACAGAGAAAATCGAGCCTGGTTCGCAAACCGAGGCAGTGCATAGAAAAAGGTTCAGAAATCCGGAGGCAAGGCTCACGGCCGCGACTCGGAGACTTCTAAATGAGCATAATATGAAGTATCACCGATCGCTCAACTGGTGACGTCTGAGTCTTAAGGTCGGTCAAAAATGGGGTGTCTACAATGAACTACCGACATTTTTCTACTGTATAAGTTCAGAACTCTGAATTAATGTTTTCTCTCTCCCCCCTATGGTTATTTAGATTTTTTATTCAAATCCTTTCAGTGCAAAAAGTGGTGCTAATAGAAGAGACAAAGTGAACGGATGTGAGGATCCTCTGAGGTGCAAACTAGAACAGTTTTACGGTGAAATGTGGGTTAAATATTCCTACCAGAAAATGAAGCAGGACAGCGTGTCTCAATCTCCTTAGTTTTACATGCTTCAATTGAATGGCACTCTTTGAGATCAGACAAATGCATGTATTCAATATCTAACTTGGCAACATATTCAACAATATAACAAAGGGCTTTACATGTGTTTATTTGTGTAATCAGTACATTCAAAGGACTCCACATCTAAACTAGTGCTCGTTCTTCTATGATTTTACTTACAGAAAGACTATAGCAGTCAAAATGCCGTGAGTACAATAAAACAAATGTTATTGGTTTTGTTGTCAAATCAATTTCATCTCATTAGCTACATATCATGGGTATTTACAGCATCATGACTATTAACCAGCTTTTGCTCCAAATTACCTACACTCGAAGAGGGTAATATCTGAAAGAAAGGAACAAAGAAAAGGTAGCATTACCGTTTCATGTTTACTATTCATTTGTTCCCAAATAATCTTTTTGTAATGCATCTCTTCCTTACTGTGCAGATATTTGTCAACCTGTAAAAAATTTGACATTGTTTCGAAGTTATAAATTCATTGATCTGATAAGTCAATCAGGTAACATTTACCAATTAAGTCAAGAACACAACTTGCTTTAAAACTTGCAGCATACCTTAACATCATCGATATCAGAAAGGCTTTCCGACTCGTCAATTGCTGCCATTCTACTCAGATGCTCATATCTATGCAGCTGACCAGATACCTTGTTACCATCTTGGCATCCATCAGAAGCTCCTGAAACATCAGAATGTTACTTTGACTTAAGCTTTCAAGTTTAATCCCTAAAATAATGCATGACAGGAATTTCATGATAACAATTCGTTACCCTTTTGGGTATTCAAGAATCCACTTCTTACAACATCTGCACGCACTTTCGAGGACGGTGTTACTTTTTTCTCTAACTAAAAAAAAACATGAAAACAGAAGTGTGTGGAAAGATAAACTTGATCCAAGATCTCTCTTACACACCTTAAAGTCATTAGTTTATCAATCATGGAACAGAAACAAGGAGTAATGAGGAAGAAAAAGCTGCATAATCCTAAATTACTTCTAACAGTATATTTGAATATATATCTCAACCATAGTGAAAAATTCGGGAAATGGGAAACAATGCACAAGATTGTGAGCAAAATGTCTTTGTAAGTCTAAGGAATGGAGGCAAAGGTCTTTTAGTTTATACAAATTACAATACACATTTCATGAGAAGAAAAAAAAAAAACATGAAATTTATCTTTAAAATTTGAATATGCCATGCCTTTAGCTCATTGGGTTGGGATCATATATTTCCAAGCTAGGGAGGGATTTAGGAGATAAATGGTAGGAGAAGTTGAAAGTATATACAACTGAATTCTGATCTCATTACCCTGAATTAGACATGCTGCTAGTTTAGTTTTCCACATCTTTTTTATGCTTCAAGAGTCAAAAATCTTTTTTTCTTCTTTTTTCATTTTTAAGATTTTCTGCGCATGGGCTCAGCTAGTGTTCCATGGGCCTTCTTTTGTGTCACATTATTGTGTTTTTATACATGATCCTTAGTTTATTACTTTGTTTAGATCAATTCTGTAACTCAATTACCTTAGGGGTCGTTTCTTAGTGTTGTCTTCATGTTGAATACCATATACTCTTAATGCAAAAGAAAGGCACTTAACCCTTGAAAGAATCACCAAGGAATTGCAAGCTAACGGTTTATACGTGAAGAACAGCAACCTTATCTTGAGACTACTTAGAAAACTCAAGAATGCAATCAAACAAGATACAACAACACCACCTAGTGGACTAACACACATCCCATTGATAAAAAAATAAAAAATAAACAAAAAAAAATGCCATAACAAGAAACTTAATTGCAAGAATTGCCTAATGGGGTGACGTTTCTACGATCTAAAACAAGAAACTTGTTAGAACCATGGTGGAGATAGAATTGTGGTTCCAACTGGGATGAGACCACTCAAACATATGAATCTCGAAGAAACAAAAAAAATAAACAAATAGTAAATCTATCAAGGCAAAAGTGTCGAAACACATCACTTAAAAAACACACAACTGAACTCAAACTTATTGAGATTCGAACCGAACAGAGGATTGAACCACGGCCTAGAACGCGAAAAACCCTCTTCAAAATCAAGTGTAGAGAAACACACAACTGAACTCAAACTTACTGCGAGTTTTGCGCGGCACCTCCATCCCCACTGTAAAGGGCGAAAATGTTATCAAAACCCTAATTACAAAAAAACCCAATTGAGAAAGTAAACAAGGAGGAGGACATACGAGTCTACAAGTATCGAAGGTGAAGTCAGATACGCCGTGTTTATTGAAGAAGTCGGTGGCCTCGTCGAGGATGATCGGATGGTGGAGATTGTACTCTTGAGTGCAACCAGAACACCTGCAAAAACAGGACTTGAATGGATAAGAATTCAAACCAGGACTTGAATGGACAAGAATTCAAACCAGCAGAATTCAATCCAGGATTTAGTGAGTGGTTTAAAGAGCAAAATATAAATAGCAATAAATGTAAACCAGCAGAATTCAAACCAGGACTTGAATGGACAAGAATTCAAACCAGCATAATGCAGTGGTAAAATCATGGTCAACGTCAAACTCGTTCATTAGGTTGCTAAAATACGCATTTCCTTGATATTCCATCTAAAGCACAATTGTTCATACCACACAAAAAGAATAGTGAAAAAAAAAAGTATCAATTCATGGCCTAATTCCAAAAATAATGAATTAGGGAATGGTGGACATAATTGGAACAAAGTAATTTTAAATTGGAACAAATCTGATTCATAATGGACATAATTGAACATCTTTGAAAGTAATTTAAAATTGGATAGGAAAGTTAAATTCTGGCATGACCTAATGTGGGGATGTTCCCTTATCGGTGGGGCTTTTCCCGACTAGTTTCAGATTGCAGTGGATAAGGATGCCTTGGGTCTCAAACTACATAAGGATCACTAATACATCATAGTATTTACATTATTAGAATTTGGAGGCAGTGGGTGACTCATTCACATTCTTTATGAGGAGAATGGTGCATGGCCAAGGGAGAATAGGATGGTGTGGAAAGCTAATGGTGAGAGATTATCTGTTAAATCGCTAAAATGGGATTCAACGGGTACCACCGACAAGTCATTGCATGGGACAATATCAAGAAAGTTGGGGTTCACATGAAGGTGTTTGTATGGACTGCAACCTTAGATTCCATCTTGACTTTGGACACCTTGGGAAAGCGGGTGAGATGCTTCCTAATTGGTGTTACATGTGTAGTGGCATTCCAACATGGTTAGTATTTTGGTTACATGAGACGTTTTGTGACTGTTTAGTCGCTTCTATTGATTTCATAAAAAAATAAAAATTCTTTTGTTGATGTGATATAGCTAGCTTTTCTTTAATACCCCTACTATGTAGATGTTGAACCCCATTTCTAGAACCTTTAATTGAATTGTTTACCTATGAATATATATACATAAATATAGCTTAATCTTTTCTTCATCTTTTTTCTTTTTTGTCGCATGGTATACGTCAAAAAAAGTTTGTGGGGGTTACATGTTAGTTGGGAAGGGAGAATAACAAAGGGATATAACTTAATCTAATTGCAAATAGCATAATTTTTACCATGTTAACTTCTTTTTTTTCTTTAAACTTTTTTAAATATGGCTTGCATAAAACCAGCAGTGATTGCAAGATATATCCTCGTGTCACAAATATGTCTATAATAAACAAGACAAAAGCACGACAAAGGAAGCAATTAGAATTTAAAATTTAAAAAAGCTAATTGACTTGGATGTTAACGTACAATATATTGATCTAATCTTTTTGTTCTTACTTAGCTCCAGAGCAGCCACTATGGCCCCAAATGTAACAGAACAACTAAAAAAAAATTAATTGATAGTTTTGAAACACTCAAATGCAATGTATGCATCCCCAAGAACGAACCTGCTTACCCAAACACATAAAAATCAACTTGTAAACAAGTCCAAAATTTCAGAAAAGGCCAAATTGAGACAGAAAAAAGGGAAGTGTATGTATAATTAACATGATTTACAAAAATTGGAAGCCCTAAAACATGTATAGATTCTTGGGTGGAATTGTGGAGTCAATTCTTTGAGGCAATTTATCGAACATGTAGAGGACATTAGAGAAAACCCTCTACACATTGAAAAACCTATCATCAAGCAATCTACAAAAGCAAATACAAACAAAAACAGATTAAAATTGAAATGTTAATGGGTTACCTGGAAGAGGGTTCGACGTGCCTGACGAGACCAGGAAGTTTGGGGAGCAAGACAGAAACAGGGGATTTGAGAGCAGAGGAAGGAGAAGAGAGGTTTTCGTCTTTGCAGAGGTAGCAAATGACATCGACCATGAGAGAGATTTGAGAGGCGGCTTGCCTAGGCAGAGGTCAGCTACCTCGTATGCTAGCAAGCGAACTGCCATACAAAACTGAATATGGGGGTTTTTTGAGAGAGAGAAAGAGAAGATGTGGAGGAGGATTCTTAGGTAGAGAGAAAGAGAGAAAGAAAGGCTGAGACTTGGCAGTGAGGCTTGGTAGAGAGAGTGGGCACCGAAAGAGAGAAAGAAAATTCAAATCCCGCCCCCACTGAAAATCAAATTTCCCCCCAAACTTTTGGCGACCAAACTCTCAAATTAGTCGCAAAAACAGGTTCTTTCGCCGACAACTTTTTTTGTTGCCAAATCTTAATCAACGGTGACTAAAATATTAGTCGCTAAAAGTACTAATTTGGCGACTAATTTTTTTTGGTTGCTGAAAATAAGATTTTCGCGACCAAATTTTTGGTCGCCAAAAAATATGTGACCTTTCGCGACCAAATTTGTAGTTGGTCGGCAAAAGTATACCACTTTTTGCAACCAACATATTTTTTGGTCGCCAAAATATAACCTTCTGCGACCAAAAATATTTGGTCGCCAAAAATAATGATCATTTGCGACTAATTAAAATTTGGTCGCCAAATGTCATTTTTTTGCGACAAAAATTTTTTTGGTCAACAAAAGTGGTCAGCAAATATGTAGATTCTTGTAGTGATTTCACATTTTCACTGTGCTAAAATCATTAACTGACATAATTGTTGGAACACTTGTTTTAATTATTTTTATTTCATTAACTATATTTATCTATTGTGCTAGTCATAATTTTTATTAAGGTATTATTATTTTTATTTGTAAAAACCTAATTCACCCCCTCTTACGTTGTCTTTTGGGTAACACAACGTAAACTTATTTTTTGAGTTTACTTTTTTTTTCACAGATTTATAACTGAGACAACCATTTATAAACAAAAAAAAATATCAAACAAGTTTTTATGACAATTTTTTTAATTTTTGTAAACATAAACTAAAAACTGAAAACGAAATGGTTACTAAACAGATCCTGGTGTTTAGCTTGTTAAAAAATCATACTAAATTGATTCATTATATAAATAAGGTAAGGCCTCGTTTGGGAATATATTATTTTAGTAATTTTTTGATTTTTTACGAAATGATATACAGAAAAGTAAAGAGAGTGATGTGACAACTTATAGGGTTCGTTTGACATAAAGGTTTGGGTTGGGTTGGGGCTATTTTAATCACAAAAAGAAAAAATAAGTTTTTTAATCTAATAAGACAAAATGTCACATCTAAACTACAATCATTTTATTTTTTCTCTCACAAAAGTCAAAAAATCCATTTCAAACGAGACTTTTTAACCCCATGCTAAAATAGTCAAAAAGCCAACCCACATCCCAAGCGAAAGGATATTGATTTTTTAACTTTTTAGCTAAAATTTATAGTTGACAAATGAGACCAGTTTAAACTTAATTTTAAGCTCATTAAAATCAAGTTTGAACAATCTACTATTTGACACGACCCATTTTCATCCCTAATTACCACATACTTGCATATTTTAATTTCTCTAGTATTGCCCAAAATGTTATCATATATAGGGAAGTTATTGGGTGCTCCTAGAGCACTGTCATATGGAGTTTCAAGAATGTTATGATTGGTGAAAAATGTGAGGCCCATGATTTTGTATTGAATAATTAAAAAATATGAGAAATATATAATATATGGTGATTAGTGGATGAATATGAATACGTAACGTTGCACTCAATAATTTTCCTCACATAATGCTTTTGAAACCTGCATGTATTGTGATAAATAAAAACACCGCATAGAAAGAAAATAAATGAGATTGACTTAATAAATCATCATAATCGATCAAGATAGATGTAAGTCAATTTTATCATTTCTTAACGATTGCTATTATTTGTCTGAAAGCACACTATACCAATTTGCACTTTTGGTGACTCCAAAAGTTATAGAATAGGCGACTAATAAACATTACATTGGTCAGCATTGAAAATAGTTTTAGCTACTAAATTTTTTTAGTAGTTGTATATTAATTATTGGCGATTAAAAAAAAATTAGTTGCCAATTATGCCACAATAGGTGACTAAAATTATTTTAGTCGGCATTAGTTTATGTTTTAGGCTACTAAAGTTTGTTTTAGTCATGATATACTAATTTTTGCATACTAAAATAAATTTAGTCGCCAAAAAGTAGCTTAGTGTTTGCTATTAATCTTTGGTGACCAAAGTTTTGGTCGGCAAATACTAATTTTCCGTGACCAAAACATTTTCAGTTGCTGTAAAGTAATTTTTGCCTACTAAATAATTTAGTCGCTAAATAAAAAGCATAAATTTCACTTTTATCTTTGGTAATCAAAAATTTAGTCAGTGAATATTTCTTTTCAGTGACCAAAATAACTTTATTCACCAAAAGTACTACAATAGGGGACCAAAATTTATATTGGTTGGCAATGATAGAAAATTTTTAGTTGCTCGTTCAATATACAAAATATATTTAACAACTATATCCAGGAGAAAGAACAACCAAAGAAATACAGGGAAGACATTTAGCAACAATTTACAATGATGCATAATTTACAACGCTGAGAATTCTCCTCTTGTCCTGTGTTCAGGAACACCAATATGTCTTAGCTGAACTTTGTAATTATTAGTCCGTCCTTCAATTGATCCAACCAAGGCGAAGGTTGCCACTAGCAAGCAAATGCTGCTGTAAATGTGAAGAGCGATCCACTTTCTTGTCCACTTTCCGATGTTTTTCTGCACAATGTACATTTCCACCGGGAAATATACAATCAACGGCCAAAAGTTGAGTGTTCCCGCCACTCCAAGAACTTGGTTGAAGTATGGGAAGATAATTGCAACCCCAGTTGTTCAAGCAACATAAGCAGTTCGAAAACACAGCCTGAAAAGATTTAATCTAAAAGCCGGCAATAATGGGAGTACCAGAATGTAATTATCATTTACAAATCCACTGCTTGGGAACTTCTCTGCAGCCCATCTTTCCACCATTGCAAACTGTGGCTGACTGAATACCTGAAAAACATTAGAAATTAATTTACATACGAAAATTATCTAGATTAAAAAATGTAATTGAAGGTTTGGCTGTGTTTTCATTTTAATTGCTTCCATTTTTTATGTTTTCAAAAACAAAAACAATAAAAGTTAAAAAATACTCATATTTCATGATGTTTTATCATTTTTTTGGTACCTGATATGCTCCAACTAAATGAACTGCAACACACATATTAGCAAAGTCAATGAGCCAATATGGCTTGAAGAATCCAAATCCGGTCAAGAGATTTCCTGGTGCAGAATTCCCAAAGGCTGCATTTGCCAAATCCTTCACATAAGAGGTAGAAAATGGTTGTAATACACGTTGCCATCATTGAAGCATTCTTCATTGTAACTTTTTCTGGAGGTGGTGAC